GCAGCAGCAGGAGGGCAGCCATGGTGCCCTTTCTCCACTCCGCACGTCCAGCCCCTGCCACTCGCAGACACCCCTGATGGTCCCTTCTGAAAAACTGGGGACTGTCGCTCTTGCTCTGAGACCTTTCCTTCGCGGGAGCGCGCTGGCACACGCCCCTTCCCACCCGGACTCCCACCACACCCCACGGGCGGAGAGACGCCCGGGAGGAGAGTGTGCGGGGGACGGCCCGGGCTCCCAGCCCTCCCCAAAGCCTACGCTCCGCCCTAGACGCGCTCCCTCCAGGACTGCTCGCGACCCAGTCCGCACCCTACCAGGTCCTGGGCGGTGCTTGCGCCTTCCCTCAATCCCAGGGTCATGTCCCTAGGAAGTATTTAGGCAGCTGGCTGGACTTTGGAGACCGCTTTGAGAGCGTTTGGAGCACGGTCCATCTTCCCCTCAGTATGTCTCTTCTTCCGTGATGGAGTAGCACCATTGCACTCTCCCAGAAGAGACCGAAGACCCTGGCTCCTGGCCCATTGGGTTCTGCAAGTCCCGACAGGACAGCCAGATGCGTGCCTTCCCTTCCCCTCCCGCTGCCAGGAGCAGCAGCAGCAACCCCAGGGGCGGGGGCGGCGGGGGGCGACTTATGTAGGGCAAAGGTAGAGGCCCAGACTGCCAGATTCCGAAGGGGCCATTGACAACGGAGGTCCCTCCCTTAGCGCGAGGGTACAATAATCTGGGCCAGCCTACGAATGCTTTCCATCATCCTGGTTTTAATTGGGGCAGAGGAAACTGGGAAGAGAGGAAGGAAAAAAGCCTCCAGTGGTTTAGCTTTTCAAAGGAAGGAGTAGCAGCTGAGGCGAGAACCTGGATTTGGTAAGGACAAACGTGCAGGACCATCTGCAGTCAGCCCCCGTCTCACTCCTCTACTCCCAGGCTCATGCAGGGAGACAAATGAGGATCAGCAGTGGCCAGGACTGTGGAAGGGAGAGGCCCTGTCCCTGGTATCTGGACTCTCCCCACCAGGCCCAAGTTGGACTCTTCTCTGTCCAGACCCAAGTTGGAGCACTCCCACCCTCAATCAGTTCTCCAGAAGTGTGATACCACACAGTGAGTGAGCAGCGGCTAAGGACAGGCCATCCCAGAGGGAGACGTGCCAGCATCCACCGCTGCGTGGACAGTAGTGGCAGGAAGGATGAGGGGTGGCCTCAGGGTCTAGACAATGGGGGAGGTAGGGCAGAAAGGGAGAGGAGGAAGTTGTGAGCCACAAGTGTGTGTGTGTGTGTGTGGGGGGGGTGCCAATTAAATTGAGACCACCTGTACATGCACAGGGTAAAAGTGGGTGGCAACTCCGGCACAAAAGAGGTTCTGGCTTTATTGTCATTTTAAAAACAACTTTTAAAACACGACAATCTGCCCCAAGAAAAGAAAAACAAAAAAAAAACAGAACCAAGGAAATGAGACCACGTGACAGTTCTGTGGAACCTGCCTCTGGGACTGCCCCGAGCTCTGGCCCAGCCTGAAGTGCCAACGTCAGCCTCCAGCTCCTGCTACGTGGGCTGCGGCTCCCTTTCAGGTTCCTTCTCAATGCTGTGGCCTCTACTCCACGGTGAGCAACGGCACCCCCACCGTGTGGATGAGGCACCCATTTCACACTGGGGTGTGGACAGTGACTAAGACACCTGCTCAGAGCAAATCAAGACCCGAAGGGGGAAGCAGGACGGACACTCACACAGAGCCTACTCTCATCCCAGCTCTTCTCCGGCCCTTCCTGATTTCCCTTCCCTGTTGCAGTGGCTCTTGGGGAAACCAGGAGAGAGGTTTGGGGAGGGAGCAGGGGGTTGAGGACTGCCACTTCGGTTACATTTTGCACAACCCTGGCTTGTATGAGAACCCAAGTATCAGTGGGAGGAGCAGCACTGTGAGGGGGCTGGAGGTCCCAGGAGAGGAGGGGAGGGGCTGGGGCTGCATGGCAGCTTCTAGGGCTGGGCCAGGCCAGGCCAAGGAGGAGGATCATCCTTCCAACTGGGTAAGCCTGGGAATGGGGAGAGGGTGCTTCCCCTACTGTGGCCCCAGCCCATATTAACCTTTGATTCCCCAAGGAGGAGAGGGCAGTCCAACTGGGGGTGGGGCTGGGAATACAGATCCTCAGTCACTGTCAGAACCCACTGCAGAGGACCCTTTCCGTTTCCGCTTGGTGGGCTTCGGTTTTGTGTCTTCTTCTTCCTAGAGATGTGGGGGAGGAGGGACATTACCAGCCTGGGTAGCTGCTGGCCCAGCCCCACCCACCTCCCTGCTCCAGGGCCTCCGGCACACTGCCTGAGGGCTTACAGAAGCACTGCTTGAGCCCGACTCCTCTTCTGCGTTGGGGGGCTGTGTGGCATTCTTGCGACTGCGAGGGCTGGACAGAGCTGCTTTTCGTCGGCTCTTGGGCGGTTTGGTGGAAGAGTCCTCATATTCTTCCGCCAGAGAGAAGAGATCACTGAACCTAGGAGCAAGGAGTTCTCAGAGAAGCGACATCCTGGCTTTATGGAGGCCTCCCATCTTTTCCTTGTCCCTGGCCTAGATCTCACTCATTAACACCAGGGTCTTGCCGGTCATTGAGTCTGTGTCCCCAGCAGTCTTCCCCGACCACCTCCCAGGGCCCAGAGTGGAAGGAGCCTCACTTCATCTTGTGGGCTTCATCGCAGCTCGCCTGGACGTGCTGCAGCGCCTGGAGGATTGGGGTCTGGCTGAAAACTAGAGAAGAGGGGACAGCAGGGAAGGAGATCAGTGGGCTGCCTGGCAGCTCATGACGGCACCGCCAGGCAGTCTTCTCTAAAGGCTCTGGGTTCTGGCCTGCCCCCACCCATGCCCCCGCCCCTCATGGCTCTAGGGCAGCCTGGAGCAGGGCAGTTCCAAATCCCTAGCCCCGAGGGTGGCCAGCATACAGTTCTGCTTGGTGTTGGTCAGGTTGAGCCGTAGATTGTCCAGGTGCTCCAGGATCTGCTCCAGGGTCAGCTGGGCCAGCTTACTGCTAGAGCTCCTCAGGCTGCACAAGCAACCATGAGAGTCAAGAGTCGGACCTCCAGGGGTGCAAGGCTCCCCTCCCCCGCCCTCCTGAAGATGGAGGCTGGCGTAAGAGGACAGGAGGCTGGTAGGGCTGAGTGAGGGAAGTGCGCTTGGAACGTGGATGGCCATGGGGCACCAGAGATGAGGGGCAGACGGGCCAGAGGTCCTACACGCCATGTGGCCTCAGACCACTAGGTGTTACCCACCAGCCAGGCAGGGACAACGCCAGCACCACGCCACCCTGGGCAGCCCTGGCCTGGAGGACGGATGGGACCACGTCCCACCTCTGCCTCTTCCGAGGGAGGCTGTTGTTCTTGATGAGCAGGGACTTGATGTGCTCGGCCAGCAGCTCGTCGTGCTTCATGCACCAGTGCCGCAGGATGCTGGTGGTGAACTGGTCGTCGGGGTGGCAGGGCCGGCTCAGCACCATCTTCACCATCTCCTCGCTGGGCCTGGGGGTGGCAGGGGGCTGGCCTCAGGAGCTGCTGGGTCTCTCCACCTACTTATTTCCCAAATCCCAGCCTCCCGCCCCACCCGAGCCCCACTGTGGCTTAGTCTCACATCA